GAATAAAATAAATTTATATAATATTTTAAGTGGGTTGAAAACAGGTTGAAAACGGGTTAAAAACAGGTAAAAAAATTCAACTCAATCCAACCCATTTATTTAAAAGGGTTAGACGGGTTGACCCATTTATTTAATTGGGTTGAAAATCTCAACCCAACCTGCTAATTCTGGGTTGGGTTCGGGTTGGGTTAATGGGTTTGGTCATTTTTTGTCACCCCTAATTTCATCCTCATGTTGATTTTTATTAATTATAATAATAAAAAAATACAATGGGGGGACATAAAAACCGAAAACCCCGAATACAAAATATAAAATGATAAAATGGTAAATCATGGATTAAGATTGTGTTTCATTCTCTTCCAATTTTCTCTTGTCCAGATTGAAATTAGCAAAATAGAAACTTTGTTTCAATTTATGAGACTTAAAAGACAAGAAAAATTATAATTAGTTTTTAACTAAAATAGTAAATTACATTCAAATTACTGTCATAGTAAGCAAAAAGTAAAATTCAAAAGTTACAGGTTTGACGACTAAAAGCTAAGGGCATATCTGTTAGCAACTTAATAAGTTTAATGGAACTAACAACTTATTCGCTCAACTATACATGAGTGTGTCGTAGTGGCTTAATGATATAGAAAGTGACTTATTCAGTAAGCTTTTAGGGGGATCTTTATATAGAAAGCCAAGTTTTTTTTTCAAACATGTCATTTCCAACTAAAAAAACGCTCCTTACATCTGCGAAAAAACTCTCTCAAACAAAAACTTTTCCAACGTATACAAACAAATTAATTCACACAGACAACTTTATACAAACAAAAACTTTTCCAACTTTCCAACTTTTTTCCAACGATGTGCATTCAGTATCCATCACTACTAGGCTTTGACAACTTGATCCAAAAATAGTAATAAATGACAACTTGATCCCCCTTTAGACTTTGATGCCCTGTGCGGCCGCACGGGCTACACGTGGCCAGGGTCGACCCTGCCTCATCCATCGAAACCCTCGTCTCATTCTCTTTGTTCGAAACTTGATGAATGCTCAATAATTTACTCCATCTCAACTCGATAATTGATTGATTGCCAACGATATTTCTTTGTGGCTGGGTTTTTGTGAAAAATAGAAGTTGAGGCCATTCTACGGTGGATACACACACCAGATCTGGGTTTTTGGTGTTTACTTGTTGTTCTTAAAGCTTTATCTACTCTCTCTTTTCCTGTACCCTTTCTCTACGACACATTAACACATAAAGCTTGAATGTCCCTCATGCTTTATCCAGATGTGGGCTTTGATTAAAAGAAGGTGGAAGGAGAGGGGCGACAATGTAAATTTTTACATACGATACCTTTTTTGTGGACTAAAATCTTACCCGGTAAGTAATTAATGTTAAATTTTACCGATAAAGCGCTTACCGGGTAAGTGTTTGGGTAGGATGAACGAGTATTGCTGAGAAGAGGAGTCCTTGGGAGGGGAGGATGTTATAGAGATGGGAGGGGTTTTTTGGTTTTATTTTTGTATTTTTTTAATAATTAAATGCTTTGAAGAGTTGTACAAAATGCAGTCAGAATTGTTAGAAGATCTTTTTGTTCGGCGGTATCCAAACTTTTCAGGTTCACTCCAACATTTCCTAAACGAGTATTTCATAAAGAACCGACATGGTCCAAATAATGCCGTACCATGACGTATCTGGAATAGTAGTACACGTAACATACAACTCTTCGTTGTATTGTGCTCTCCAAGTGTACATGACGTGATGGTTGGAACAAAGACACATTTGGTTGTGGATTCAAACGTGGCATAACCAAATTCTTTTTAAGAATTATCGTTATCTGTATAATAAAAGAATTACTAAATAAATAACTGAAATGACAAAAATGCCCTTTGTATATGATGAGTTAATGGCAACAGATTTAACAGAATTAGGGCAAGAGATCCAATCCATAACAAAAATAAAATCATGATTACCATACATATAATTATTTCGTTTTGTGGACTCAATCCAAAATTTAGAATAACCACAGGGACGAAATTTGTAATTTACTCTACAATAATATATATATATATATATATATATATTATTCTTTAAACATATTTTGGGTATTTAAAAAAAGTCGGGATACTAATTATTAAAATAAATATATGTGGAAGCATATAATTTTTACCATATTCAGAATATGGGGATGGTAAAAAAAACAATATTAAGATGATATTTGTTTTTTTAAAAGATGTTGAAGTCTGAAATTTTATTTAACTTTTAATTAATAAGAGGTGGTGTTAAAGTTTGAAAAGTGAATTAAAAAGATTGTTTGTTTTTTTAAACTGATAAATGTCTGATATTGTTTAAATGTCTATTTTACTCACTAGAAAATTATAATGTTGAATTTATAGATAAACTTGTATAATTTCATATATTTATTCATCAACATTATGAAATTTACATCTAGATTATATATTAGCATTCATTTAAACGAAAATATGTCATGAACGATATTTAACACATTTAAATCATATTAAAATACATCAATTGAGGGAGATGATAATCGATTTGGCAAAGTCCGATTGAGAGAAAGGATCGATTAGGTTTAATCGATTGAGAAACGTCGTTATTGAGGGTCTGTAGAATAATAAGAGGTCGGTTTATCTTTTACTAGATAAGAGAACAATAATACATAAGTGCTTCTGAAAAACTAGGAAAAAAAAATAAACAGTCGGAATGATCCTACCTTTTAATGAATCAGACATAAAAGATTGATAAGAGTTTTTTTTTTAAAACAAACAAAGCCTAAGTCTGACTTTATATTATAAATTATTTATAAGTGTAAAAAGTTAAAATCTTTAAAAATAATTTATATCTAACTTCATTAGCTACTCTATTTTAGTAATTAATAAAATATTTAATACATTTAATAAAATATCTATAAAAAAATATTCAATACATTTAAAAATCTCTAACATTAACAATATCACTAAAATATTTAATACATTTAAAATATTATCGGTAAGAAATAATTAAAATATTCTACTCTTCTATGGAGTTTTAAAGAATTTTCCAAATCTGAAGATTTACACCTTCTCTTTTATTTTCTCTATTTTAACAAACCATTTTACAGAATTATCGAAGAAAACATAATTAAATATTAAAAATATATTTTAACATAAATATTGAAGATACTTTAATCTATTTAACTTTGTGCTTGTACTCAATTTGTCCCCTTCAATAAAACAACGTATCAAGTTTAAAAAGTAAATGATTTGACGTTGATATTTGTGAATCAAGATTTGATTAAAAAAACGTGTATGTAAAAGGGATTCACCTTAATTTAAATGTTTTATTACATGCACCACATTTTATGTTAGAATTATATTAATATATATGATAAAAAAAATGAACAAATGGATAGTGCATTTAGCCGACCTCTAAAATAATCCTTTACGGCCACTTAGAAAATGCTCGATGCTAATTAGAATCGATAGTCCAAGGCCAAACCTGTATTGTTAGTCACAAACAGGTCAAAATCGGTTACTAAAATTAACGTTTTCGATCTTCTTAAAGTAATTTGATCTGAGTGGTTGTTTTGTATATGTGTATTTAATGGTGTACCGATTTGAAGTGATAACAGAACACATGGACCAATTCAATTAAAACGACTAAGAAAAGAACGTTTATATGTAAATCCATACAAAAAAGTACATTTAAAAATGCATATTTAAATTGACTTTTTTTATATATAATTTATATATGAATTTTTCTTTAATCTTTTTTTATTATCTTCTTGTGATATTTATTCTTCTAATTGAACTTTTTCATTAATAAAATAATATCATGAATTTAAAAAATTATATAGTGAAATTTAAAAAATCGATTTAATTACTTGAGAAATAAGCATTTTTTTCAATAAATTAACGACCAAAAATAAAAGACAAAGATCGTCAAGAAGGGAATTATATAAAATAATAGAGTAAACTATAAATTTGGTCCTTGTGGTTTGTCGAAAGCATAAGAATTCTTGTCCTTGTAGTTTTAAAATAGATAAATTGCATTAAAAAGTAACATACTTTGCTTTAATTCATATTTTAGGTAACTTACTTTTAAAACATTCATTTTAGTATATAAGATGTGAAGTTTCAAGCATTAAAATATCTAGATAACCGGTTTAAGCATTAGTCGGTTACAAATGTTCATGTGACATCCAACTCAACATTATTTAGATAGTGACATGGAGTTTTTTTAAATCTAAATCAATTGTAAATTTATTTATTTTATTAGAACTTATATATTATAATTATTTATGTGAAATATATGATTTACAAATAGTTATAATATATAAATTCTAATAAAATAAATAAATATGAAACTAATTTTAAATATAAAAAATCCATTTCACTAACCGTAACAGTAAATAATATTGAATCGGGTGTCAGATCACTCGTCATATCAGTATTAATAACCAGTTAATGTTTAAACCAGTTACTCAGGTACTTAAAATTTTACATGTTAGGTACTAAACCAAAAGCTTTAAAAGTACGTTATACAAAATAGATTTCAAGATAAAATACAATATTTTTTCATGCATTTGCCTTTTTAAAATTACAAGATGATTTCCATGGTTTGTAAAAACTTATGGAAATGGTCTCTCCCACTAAGGACTGTTATAAAATTTCGTTATATGAGAAACATTTTAATCATTTTATCTATTTTTTTTTATAATTTTGTTCTATTTGGTTTTTGATTGAGTAAAAGACAAAAAATGTTAAAAAAAAACAAAATTTCTTCTCATTTGACAGAATATTTTAACGACAGTTACAAGGAGGATTGAGGAACCAAATCCATGCATTTTTATAAATCACGATGGTCATCTTATAATTTCAAACCTACAGAGACCAAATTTGTTATCTTCGACAAACTACAAGGACCAAATTTATCATCTTCAACAAACTACAGGGATAAAATTTATAGTTTGGTCAAAATATTATAATAGACCAAGCCATCATTTAATACCAAGAAGAAGTGGTTTTATTAATTGCACAATTGTATACAGCCGGCGGCTATATATATCAAAGAAGATGCTACTCCGTATACACTAACCCTTCTTCTATCTCCTCCTCTTTTCCGCCACCCTTTCGCCGGAAACAGTCGCCGGAAATAATCTCCACCACCCTGCCACCCCCCATATATATATATCACTGCTAGCTTAGCTTAATTAGCTAGCCTTAATTTATCCAAAAAATGGATACGAACTATTTGCAATTGTTCGTCGACGAGACTTCGTTCACCAACCGGATGGTGCTCGGAACGCTGCTTCCGGCCAAAATCTGGGAACCGTTACCGCACTTTTTTCAGACGTGGCTCCGGAACTACACTTCCGGAACCTTGGTTTATTTCATCACAAGTTTACTTTGGAGCTTCTATGTTTATTTCTACAAGCATAACGTTTATGTTCCTAAAGGTATCTTCATTTCTCATCATCTTTTTTGTTAATTAATTTAATTGCAAATACTTTAATTGTTTTTTTCGAATATATTTGTTTAAAAGCTAATCATATGTGAATCTATAAAATTGTGAAAACTGATATTTTATATGGTTTTTTTCATCTAAGACTATAATTTAAAGTATTGATTAACATATATTTGTGTCACAGTATAAAATTTTTTGACGTTTTCATGAGACAAAAAATATATTATGAACCAGACATAAATAAAATAAACACATCATGAAATAAATATGTTTTAATTAATATATTAAATATTAGTGTACGATGAAAAAAGTCATGTAAAACACTGCTTATAATTGTCACATTATATGTGGTATATAATATATATATATATATATACGGAAATTAATTAATTAATTAGCGTAGGGGGAGATTTCCTTTTCGTTTCTAGCTTCTTAATTCGATATGAATATCTGATTAATTATTTGTTTTAAAATGGTAATTATGATATAAATGCATGTGTAATTAATATTTATTTAATTATGGAATAATTAAATAATGTGAAAAAAAGTATTTTTCCACATGGTGTTCTTAATTCATTCTTTAAGGCCGGCAAGGTGGTGGGTTTTGTAATATATTTAATTTAAGATTTTTTTATTTTGGAAAATAATGATAAAATGTTAATAAAATGGTTGATCGCATGTGCATTGCAATGCGTTTCAGGCTGGATTTTTGTTTTAATTACCTTTTGGATATCTTTATTTCTTCAAACTAAATAAAAAAGTATTCCAAAAAAAATAAGGATCAGGCTTCTTTTTTTTTTTTTAGTCTCTTATGTCTGATTTATTAAAAGACAAAATCATTTAGACTATTTGTTTTTTCGAATTTTTCAAAGACACTTATGTCTTATTTTTCTCTTATCTAATAAGAGGTAAAACAACCTTTTATTTGCATCTTATTGTTCTTCAAATCCTAAACAACGATGTTTCTTAATTAATTAACTTTAATTGATCATTTTTTCTCAATCGATTCTCACCAAATCAATCATCAACTCTCTCAATTAATGTATTTTAATAGGTTGTAAATATGTTAAACAACGTTAATGACATATTTTCGTTTAAATGGATGTTAATTTTATAATAATGATGAATAAATATGTGAAATTGTATAATTTATTCAGCACTATAATTCTTTGTATAATTTATTCAGCACTATAATTCTTAATGGGTAAAATAAATAATTTAAACAAATTCAAACGTTTATCAGTTTAAAAAAACAAATAGTTTTATAGATTCGGATTTTAAATTTCAGTACCATCTTTAATAAATCAAAAGTGAAATAAGACTTCAACACCTCTTAAAAAACAAATATCATCTTAGATTTCTTATGTTTATATATATATATATATATATATATATATATAAAGAGAGAGAGAGAGAGAGAGACTTGTAATCATGTAGAACAATGTGTTTTGTCTGTAACGTTTATGTATTTTTTATTTTTTTATAATATTTTACTATGAAATTTTAATGTTATTTTATAATTTCATTTGAACTCATTTCTATATAACTAGAATGATACTCGCACAATGCATCAAGATACATCTTGATTTTAATATTTTGTTTTATATTATTTATCTCAGTAGATGTTATAATATGGTCTTATGTGATTTTGAAAAAAACGATGATGTTTTTATTTTTGAATAAAATATAAAACTGAAGATATCATAAAATTTAATAAAAATATATCGATATTAATATCAAATTAACTATTTAAAATTCCTATTTTTTCATGTAATTCTTTAATTCAAAATTTTCATTATTATTTAATTTAGGTTCAATAACGAAATAATTTATATTTGGTTTAATAATATAATTTTCTTATAAAGATAATAATTAATTATTTTGTTAGAACTCGATGATTATCCTAATTATATTTTATAACATGAGATGCTTATCTATTATTTGATTATGTTTATCCATAGTTTGTTACACGAATTCAAATATGAAGGTTCAATAAGTTGTACTTACGCATAATTTACTTGTAATCTTGAATTTTAAGTAATATACATCAATATAAAGTAATTCATATATAAAAAATGATTTTGTATAACCTGGGCATGTGCGATGTGACGGTGTCCACTCAAAAAACATGTGTGTTTATGTTAGGTAAATCATTTTTTTCCGCCTTATATGGAGATATATATATATATATAGTGAAAGAGAGAGAGTTTGTTTCAAATACAACTTGTTGTATTTGTATAACCAATGCAACCCAATAAATTGAGATATTTATGAAAATGATGAGAGTTCATTTATTATGATTTGAATATTTATGAAAGATGAATATGATTCATTAATTATGATCAATACTTTATATTAGGAAACAATCAAAACTTTTATGAAATCACATATTAATCAAATGAAATGAACGGTTGAGATTGGGTTGTATTGGTTGCACAAATGACAAGGGTTGTATAATAACCAACCTCTATTGGATATGCTCTTTATACTTGAAAATCATGTAGTGGAAATGTAAAAATGGTTTAATATTAATGAATGTAAAGATGACGCCAACCAAAAAGACAAAATTGTCCTTCAATTTGGGTTGTATAAGTGTTGGTATGATTCGAAGGCGATAAACCACGTTATGGAACAAGGACCTTGCTAAAACCGCTGAATACTAATCATGGAGCCGCTCTTTGAAACACATAATGGTGTTTTCTGTGAATTTGTTATTGCATTTCTACTAATTAAAGATAAAGTGTGAATAAGAGTTAAAGTGAGAAACATAAAAAGAGATTTGGACCTTTGATCATTTTTAATCTCACATTCATTCCATGAATTGCACTTAATACGGGAATTGATTCGATGTATTTAATTAGTGTTGATCTTTAATTAAGATTGATCCCATGATAGAAATCTGTTATTAGTTTTCTCATTGAAACCCAACTCATCTGTTGGATATGCTCTTTATACTTGATATAAGAGCATCTCTAGTTGCTATGCTAATCTAGAAAATTTAAATATTTAAGAAAAATTTGTTTCAACGGTTATACTAAACTTTCCTTTAAAAGAGAATAAAAAGGAGAAAGAACAGAAAAATCTCTAAGTTTAGGGGAAAAATTATAGCATAATTATTAAATAAATAAGATTTTTTTATAAGAATTTTAGTTTTTTTTTTTGAAGTATATATAATATTTATATACGGTATATGCAACAAATAAACTCACATACCCTTGAACCCCTGACTTTCTAGGAAGCCAAAGATTACAATACCGCTAGGCCAAATGCCCTTTGATATAAGAGTTATAGTTGGTTGACATGTAGAAGAAAACATGGTTATTGAGTACTCACCGGTCACCGCTAATTACTTATAGAATAAATTACATTTTTGGTCTTTATAGTTGTCATTGATTATGATTCATTTTTAAATTAATTACAGGTTTAGTTATTATAATTGTCCTTTTGTTTCATTTTTGATCATCTGACTAACTTTAGTTAATAATACTTTGGTGATTTTGCCTAAAATGATACGGGTAATTGACTCAAATAGTTATTTCACTCATTCAAATTGGTCTCATAGTCATTCCTCTCTAGGATTCACTCAAATGTCACTACGTCCGCAATATCCACATCCTCAATATTATCCCAAATGTCACTGTGTCCGCAATATTGCGAACCTGACTTAAAGATAAACAAAAATCAAATTCCACCAAGTTATCAAGTAGCACCGTCATATTTACGGACCTGACCGTCGTAATTGCATACCTGGGTTGAATCTGATAGTTTATTCTATCTTTTAGCCAGATCCATAATATTACAGACATAAATATTATGAATTTAGGGAGATTTAGATTAATCCAAAAAAATGAATGATTAGAATATCAATTTAAATAAATAGAATGAATATGCCATTGAATCACGTAGACCCCACTCTCACTTATATAATGGTTGTCTTCCCTTCAAGTCCACACACTAACCATTAATACCACTTTCCCTCCTTTTTTGCCACTCCAAAACTGTCTCTTTTTTTGCGGGAATCTCACCCCACCACCACCACCACGACCACCACCACTCAGTATCTGATCCATCCTCCGCCATTGTTATCGGAAAAGAATGGAGGAGTACTTGCAACTATTCGTGAAGGAGACCACACTCTACAACCAATTGGTGGTCGGAAGTTTGTTGCCGGAAAAGTTATGGACTCCGCTTCCACACTTCCTCCAAGGCTGGCTTCGTACCTACATTGCCGCCACCCTTCTTTACCTCATCTCCGGCGTCCTTTGGTCCTTCTACATTTACCACTTCAATCGTAACCTTTTCCTTCCCAAAGGTTCTTATAACACTTCTCAACTACGAATTTTGTTTCTATTTTGTTATTTAATGTTTGTAATCAGTATATAATATTTATATACGACAAATAGAACAAATAAACTCACACACACACTCCTCACATAGTTGATCAAGATGATAAATAGTTGATCTCAAGTTTGGTTTTTTTTACTTAATTATGTGTTTTCTAGTAACGGGAATACGATCTAATACTATTCTATTGAAATCTTTATCGGTTTCTAGATGCTATCCCTTCAAGAAAAGCGGTGCTTTTACAGATATATGTTGCAATGAAGGCGATGCCATGGTACTGTGCGCTTCCCACGATCTCGGAGTACATGGTTGAAAACGGATGGACTAGATGTTTTCCGCGGATAAGTGACGTGGGCTGGTTTTCGTACGTGTTAAACTTGGGTTTTTATCTCGTACTCGTTGAGTTCGGGATTTACTGGATGCATAGAGAGTTGCATGATATTAAGCCTCTCTACAAATACCTTCATGCAACTCATCATATCTACAATAAGCAGAACACACTTTCACCTTTTGCTGGTGAGTTCTTTTTCAGGTCCATGGTGTTCACCGAAACAGCTAGCTGTTCTACATTTTAGAATATAGAATAGAAGTGGGCTATAGAGTCTCTTAAAAGACCGAGGTTTTCATGGAAACAGTTGTTCTGATTCCATTGAAACAATTGCTCTACACTTTGGGGTAGATGTCAGGTCTGTGTATATCCCTCAAATCTAACCTCCATATGGAAACAATTATTCTACTCTTTGTGGTAGATGTGAAATCTGCATACATCCCTCAGATCCCACCTCCGAGTGGGATATATAGTCCCTTAAAGACCGGTGTTTCCAAGGAAACAACTTTTTCTATTCTTCGTGGTAAAAGTCAGGTTTACATACCTTCTATAGACCCCACCTCCGAGGGATATAGAGTCTCTTAAAGACAAGGGTTTCCACTAAAACAGTTGTTCTACTCTTTGAGGTAGAGGTAGGTCCCCAGCTTCAAGTGGAGATACAGTCTCTTTGATATCGAAATTCAATATAGGTGGATACATACCCTATACATCTGTATCGCTTCCATTCATTTACTGATGCAATTTCAAATATACTTGAGCGGTTATTTTGTTGTGATAAAAAAAATTGAAATTTTATATCGTTAGATTAATTGTTATGTTGTATAATATTTAAGAGTAATATGTATATGGTTTTTATATCAGGTTTGGCATTCCATCCGCTAGATGGGATACTGCAAGCGGTTCCACACGTGATTGCGCTATTCCTAGTACCGATGCATTTCACGACACACATAGGGCTTTTGTTTATTGAAGCGATATGGACTGCAAACATTCATGATTGTGTAGACGGGAAGATGTGGCCAGTGATGGGTGCAGGGTACCACACGATTCATCACACAACATATCGTCACAACTATGGGCATTATACCGTATGGATGGACTGGATGTTTGGTACCCTTCGTGATCCTTGTGAGGAAGAGAACAAGAAGATATGATTCAGATTTGTTATTCGTGTAAATGGTGAGCGATGTTCGCTTCGATTCATTTGATTTTATTGGTAAGGTAGAGATGAACAGCATTCGGTTCGCTTTTTAAGGGTCTTGGTTAATGCTGGATTTCTCTTTGAAACTGATTTATTTATAATTCTCATTTGATTATCATCCTATATATATATATATATATATATGCACACACACACATATATACAAAGACAAAAATAGGGTCTGGTTCATGAAAAAACCTACAAAAAATTCAAATACTAAGGAACACCCTAATAACCGTTCATCTGTACAGTATTTACATATACATACAAGTAATTTGTCCGGTATATACACGTGCATAGAGACCATGATAATTACTTGTATACGTATGTGGATACAATACAGATGAACGATTATTAGAGTGTTCCTCGAATTTTCATTTTTCTAAGGGGGCGTTTGGTTCGTAGAATGGAATTTGATGAAATTGGAATTCATCAAATGAATTTGACTTTGAAGGAATGAAATGGAATTTGACCATGCCTTGTGATTGCGTTTGGTTGCATGGAATTGGAATGAATTTGGATTAGGGACGGAATTTGTCTGAAAGGAATTGAAATCCGAGGGTATTGCAGTGGAATGTAAAATCCGCAAGTGAAAGAATTTATTGGAATTGAAAGGATTCCATCATTTTTATTCCATGAACCAAACATTGTATTTGGAATTTGGTCAAAGGATTTGATCATTTCAATTCCTTTCAATTCCATCCAAATCCATGAACCAAACAGTCCGTAAGGGTTTTCCTCTAAAACCTCACACACATTCACTCTTTCTCTATAGGAACCTTCTTTCAAGAAGGGCTCTATTAAAGTGAATACAAAGGAGTTTCACATATCTAACACGAATAGAAGAACAGATCGAAGAAACTTCAATACCGTTTCATATTCCAAAACAGTTGTTCATTTTACATGACGAAAAAGAGGGCTAAAACGAAAGATAACTAAAACTCGAGAAGCGAATACCTTGTGACCTATGTTCAATAACATACAAAGGATTTTCGACACATATTAATACTAATAAGAATAACATAGCCCCGAGGGTCATAACACAGTTGGTTTCGAGGTGGTATACTTGCACAAACAATCACTTTTTATAACAAATCAACACCAACCGCTCATAAAACGGCGAAACTTGAGTAACAAGTTACCTTTTCTTATATGTGTATCAGCGTCAAGATTCAATCCCACATGAAACTTGCTCGAAAAGCATCACCAAACCAAGCCCTTTCGCCTCCTAAAAATGTCAACGCTCATTCGAGACTTCTCGGGCTTGTTTGACTTCTTTGACTTCTCTAGTCTGCTATCTAAGCTATTTCTAGAAACATCCGGAAGGTCGGGCCGCAACTCGAACGTGTCTCCCGTTGTGCCGCTTTCGGATGCTTTCTTTTGATTCTCGACGTCTGATGTCAAGTTTTTTGGGGCGTTGGTTGGTGTTTTCGACTTTCCGAGAGCCAAAACGAACTTTTTCAAGTGTCGGATGAACTCGGGATAAAACTCGAGGTTGCAATGTCCGCCATTGGTAAGCCACAACGGTTCGTACTGGTTCTTGCAAAGCTCCCATAGCTGTTTCCCATGAGAATGATCGACTACTTCATCCGCTGTTCCCTGTATCCCGACACAAAAACCGCTTAAAACATTTATAAATGCAGCTTTTCGAAAATTTCATGAGTGTTATGATCAAGAAACCACACTGATAGATCTTACATGAATGACCAAAACCGGGCAATTCACCGAACCGATTTTCTCGATGTTCTGAAATCGACAAAAAAACAGAGGAACAGTTAACTCGTGTAATTGCAACGATCAAATTAATCAAAATGCGACGAAGTTTGTCTTAGTTCCTTTTTAATGTAACATTTGATGGCGTGCATATCAAGTTTGTCGTCCACGTTGTCGTAATTCTTTCGTAAACCTTTTATAAAGAGGTATCCACGTCATCAAATGTTAAAAGATAACAGATTATCGTTTAAAATGGGTACAAAGTAGGAAACTTTGAAACTCTGTACATCAATTTAGAAAGAAAACAAGAACTCTTCGTTACACCAAACAAGAACAAAACCAAATTTTGTTGCATTTTGATGTATTTTGTTGCATCTTGCCCTATTTGCAGGCCGGAAAAACGGAACTTGTAATAGTATGAAAGCTATATATTATAACCTTATAAATATCGAACCAATAGGTTCGTTTGACGGGATACAGCACCCTAAGCCCAGAAAGGATCGGACTGTGTAGAACCACGCCTCTTAAATCCGGTATACGTGATGCAAGATCGATGGTCGGACCGCTACCGACAGATTGACCATATACAATTAGTTGATCATCTTTAACTCCGTATTTTTCTTTGAGGCATTTATATACTGCATCAACGTCGGCATATGTGTTACACTCGGATGGCTGAGAACAAAAGGAAGGACGATCATCACATTACTAGGAACCAAAGTTTTTCTGAAAAAAGCGATCGTAAAACAGACATATGAAGTTAGAAACGAACCTTTCCGGTTGATTGCCCGTAGCCAGAGTAGTCATAGCTGAAACATGCACATACAAAAATAGTTTAGGCGTTAAAACGAAAGAACGTATGTCGTTTTTAATTCTTCTATTTCATTCCATTTGTTCCTAACAAAGAGATATTTCATCGAAAGCGTCCGTCTTATACGATTTAGCGCATAGATATCGAGAAGATATTCTACCCTTTGTATGGTATTATTTAATTTCGCTAGCAAGCTTCTAGACGTCTAAAAATTGAGGTTTAAGCGGTTGTTTACCAACACAAACCGGGTAAGAGTGCGATCTGCGACAACACTAATCACTGACCGAATGGAAGTCTCTCCCTTAGTTTACCACATCAGTATCTCGGTCAACATCATGGACCGGTAAGAGAGGCTTGGTAAACAGAAGCATCTTTGACCGGATAAGCACCTCTTACCTGATAAGAGGCGGTAAGCAGGTAGTAAACAGCCCTAAGTACCTACTCATTTTGTAGTGGCGGATGTCATGGATCTAGATTTTACCTACGAAATTCGTGTTAGAGTCGACGCCATCCTAGGTTATGTAAGTTAGCCTTGACAAAATACTAAATAACCGTTGAGAAAAACACCAACCCTTTTTCTGGAGACTTATTCGAGAGAACACTCATGTCACTGAGGTCTTTACAAAAACAACCGCTCAGTAACTCCTCTAACCGTAGACCAAGGACCCTCTAAACCCTCTCGACCTATGGACCCTAGACCCTGTGGGATTTACCGAGTTAGTTTGATTTGGTCAGGTTGAAGGCTATAAAAAGAAGCATATGAACAATATTAACACAAACAGAAACTGTAACTATAAACCCTAAATGAACAAGATTCAGGGATTTCTTTCCTCTTGTGGCTCAACCACCCTTTTACCATAAAGTTGATCAGACACATTCAAAACAACCCACCATACTTGCTAAATTACTTATAGAAATATACTAAATTTCCATAGATTTATGCATTAATGAAGTCATTAAACACAAGAAAGATCAATTGTACAGATAAAGTAACCATCTTCTTGACAGAATTAAATTCCATGAATTCAACAGGTTATGCAGTCGATAATGGTTTTCAAGAGAAATACCCAACAAGGTTAACACGAAGACGAAGGCTCAGTTCGACAAAAAGCTCGAACATCTGACCCAAATCGGCTGCATTACCATGTGAATAGAGAAGTGTAGCAGAAGCTTTTGGGTGTTTTATATGTACAGTAACGATTTCGTTGCCTCGTTTAGTTCGAAGTCTCAAGACGTCGACGCCTTCCCTTCTGGGAACCTCGGGAATAAAGAGCTGGCCGCCGCAAGATTCGTCGGATTCCACCGTGTAGGACGGCGGAGTAGGTGGGAAGAAGGCGAACTTAGCAGCGATTGATGATGTTACTCCTCCCATCTATGGTTCAGGTGAGTTGGATTCATAAATATAATTAGGATATTTCAGGGGTTTAGAAATGAATCGGTTAATCAGATCTCCTTTTTCTGGGGAATTTTGGGTGGATAACAGAGTAATGATAATTGTGGCTGACGACAAAAAGGGTGGGGAGATAGTGGTGAGCTGCGATGTGTCACTGATGTTTTTGGTGGTGGGGGCGGCGCGTGGGTTTGGATGATTGGAGCGTCGAAGGGTTTCTCTCTCAGACTGAGGAGGAGGTGGCAGCCGCAGGCGGCGGCGATTTCCAAATTATTCTCTGCCGCTTACCGTTATTGCGTCTACCACAAACTAAAATATTGGATGCCCAATAAATGGCAAAATTTTAGAAGGAAACAATGGTTTTTATATAAATATTATGTTTTTATGTAATTAAATATATATATATATATATATATATATTATATTTTCGTGAATAAAAATTCGTTATAATATGATTTTTAGAGCATCTTTATTATAACTTAATATTAAATAACTTATTCATTACATTATTATTATGAAGTAAAAAAATATTTAATTCAATTTATTTAATAATTCGTTCATTTATTTGTATTTGTTATTTTTTGGATTGACCATCTAAAGTTTTTAGACTATGAGGCTATTTGACAGTTGTTAAATGATTTGATGTAAAATGATTAAGTGATTATAATGATTAAGAGACTCTTATGATATAGTAAAAAATGAAATATGGTTGTTTGTTAATTGTTCATAAAAGTAGGACACTGAATGGTTTAGGAAAGCCCAAGATACAAAATTATTCAAAGGGTTTGAAACCATTAAGAGATAGATTTTTTTTGTCGAACATGATTTATCTCTTGGCGATTCAGATACTGTTTTTTAATTGAATTATTAAGAGGTAAACAAACAACCATATGTTTGGTAAAAGTTAGAGTATGTCCAAGAGATTCCAAAAATCAAAATCTCTAAAAATAATTATATTCATCAACAACAGATTCCCCATTTCAATATTGATTATAATATTAAAATATTATTTCTCTCTCTAAATATTTATTCTCAAAGTCTCCTATTGGTGCTTTCACTTAGTAATCATTTTTGGGGTGATTTTCATATTTGGATAAAAAATCATTCTCTCTTCTACTTTCTTCATTTTAGAGATAGTTTTGGAGAAGCTTTTTAAACAAAGTATTAGCTCAAAATTCTAATTTTCCTATTTTAAATAAGCTTTTGAAAATGCTCTAAACTATATTACTTTTAAGTTGGTTTATAGAAACACTACCTTGAATAACGTGTAAAAGTTTTTTTCAACATTTTGGCAATGATAACCTATTTAATATTAATTGTTAAAAAATATTAATTTAAATTTATTAATTTATATTCATTATACATATGCAATAATTAATTATTAGTTAATTTTATATTATTTTTCAATA